GGGGGGGGGGGAGGAGGATGATATCGTTCACGCGTTCACTGAAGATGTAAAAATGGAAATTTAAGAAAGATCGTGGAACACGACGATTGGATTGGATCGGTTGAGAGGGGCGGCAATCGAAACGAAACCGCTGGATTGCCGATTCGGCTCGATTTTCGGTTCGATCGAAAGGGAGAATGTGTTTGCGCCCACGCGAAAACGACGAATGCCGATCGATGGCCGGTTATAACGAGCGCCGCAAGAAAATCATCGGTCGTCTGGTGCCAAATTCTCGACTATAGTAGATAGTGTAATTTCTCGAAACGAGTGCTTCCGTACTAACGATCGTTAATAATAATAATAATAATAATAATAATAATCTCGTCGCTGGCAAAGGTGAATATTCGAATATTTGGGAAACGATCGATCGACGAATACGTGCAATTCCGACACCAGATCTTTATCCGGTTTTAGTGGATATCGTTGTAATATACGTACGTAACAATTTTTATTCGATTTACTCCTTTCTTCCTTTCTTCTTCTTCTTCTTCTTCTTCTTCTTCTTCTTCTTCCTTTTTTTTTTTTTTCGATTTTAAATATCTCATCCAACGTTCAAACGTTCGGTCAGATTAATGTAATCGTGTAATATGATATTAATTTAATGAACTGTTTCTCGAACTGTTTCTGAGGAGAAAAAAAGAAAAGAAAAAAAAAAAAAGAGAGAAGTTTCCACTTGGTCTATCGTATCATCACTCTTGGCGAAGAAATAAAAAAAAAAAAAAAAACGTAACGCACTTGTATCCGCGTTTTCGAAAGTTATTTATGCACGTAAACCGGCATAAAGAGCAAAAAAGATATCACTTTTTCTTGTAATTAGACTTATTTATGTTTGTAAGTAATGCGTCTGATCGAGCGAATAAGAGCATCCGTGTTTAATAGTCGTACGTGTACAGTGCTGTTTCATTAAGAGGGCACGAATCCACCAAGTGAGAGAGATTCTTCGCAAAAAAAAAAAAAAAAAAAAAAAGAAAAAAAGAATCTAATCGATTCTCGATTTACTTAGCGGAAATCGAATCGATCGAGAATTCCATCGTACGAAATCGTAGTCTACAGAGTAGTCGGGTAATTGTCACCTTGATATTTTTTTTTTTTTTTCTTTTTATGCTACGAAGAACGAAGAAGAATTTATATATAGCGAATACTGCGTGGTACAAAATTGTATGGTACCAAGTATTATACGGTATGATATACCTAGTTTTTACTCGTTATTTATTAGGAAGAGAGAAAAGATTTTTTTAAAAAGAGATGTTAGAAGATTTTATTAATCGTCGTAAAGAATTTTAACGCGTTGATTAACTGATGATAAATCCACAACAGTTTATATTACTTTTAAATAGTAATGATTTTACATTCGTATATTTCCTTTTAATTTCCTATCCCATCTATGTGATAAACATCATCCGTAGTATTTATCACGTAAGATATTGAAATTGAATGGTTTTGGAATTAAAGGGAATCCAATTCAAATCTAATCAAAACTGTTGTGATAAAAATAATAACGATAATTGCAGACAATCAAATTCTCAGTCAATTAAATTAATTTAATATCGATCATACGATCGAATCTTTTCCACTGTATAATTATTGTAAATTAAACTTTTTCTCCAGCTTCTTCCTCGTTCCGAGGAACGTCAATTCTCTGTAACAAAAATTTTATTTGCTTATGAAAAGGAAAGATTCATCGATGATCAAATATTTTTTTTTTACTTTACTAAAGTAAAAATAAAAATAATAATTATTGGAGAAAAGAAAAATATTTCGATATAAATAGTACGTGTAATGGTATATTAATAACGTAACGCGAGATATAAGCAAATAAAATAATATTAAAGAGGAATCCAAGTAAAGAAGATGTTATAGAGGATTAAGATGGCGACAGTTACCGAACCACCCTGTATATACTTGCACACCCATGTAACTCAACTTTCTATGTACATGTATGTAGAGTGTAAATGTATTTATATATACGTATATAGAAAGTGGAAGACTCTTTAATTTTGTCGCGAACTTTTATCTAATGTGCGAAAGGCAATCAAATTTTTGAATAAAAATATCGCAAATACAAACATATTCTTCAACCGGAGCGAAATATCACGTGTAACGAGAATTTATTAATTAACGTGTCCACTGCCGAACGAATTTTTTTCTTTATCTGTGCGCTGTGTGTACCAACATACGTATTGTCGAAATATTTTGAAAAATTTCCTATTTGTTAATTCGCCATACACGTATGCACATCGTAAAATCCCGTCTTAATCCCGATTAAAATTCATAAATAAGCGCAGTGAACGTGTTAAATCGAACGAATAGTTTTTTTCCGCCCACTCTTACGTTTTCCTTTTTTTTTTTTTTGTATAAATTTCCATTTTTTACAAGCTCGTAAGAAACATAGAAGAATTATAGTCATACTTAATCGACACACGCGTGAGATTAAAAGTTTTAAATTATTCCGACGCGAAACTCGATTGTGCTGCCGCCGCTGCTCGAGAAATATGTGTCAGCGTTGTTTAAAAAGCGATTAACGAGCGTTTAACCGTGTGAATGGGAATGAAGAAGCATAGTCCATTTTAGCTCGTGGGATGCGTGAATGCCTTTGTGAATGCGATCACAAATCAATCGATGAATATAATAGTCTGTGGTATCATTAACACAATTTTTGTAATGACAATGTAAATATATCGTTGTAAATACGTTCTATAATACATACTACATATAATGTGTACAATGTATTTGTGTCAATTTCTTTTTTACCATAAATCAAATCATTTATTACGATAAAGTTTTACATTGATCTCATGATCCTAAAGTGCAAATACTTCGATAAAGTAGAATCTATAATTCAGTTCTATCTGTAGTTTACTTCGTTCGTAGATAACCAAAATATTCAAAAGGAATTTCGCAATTTTTAGCTCGATGTTTTACTTTTTTAAAGTATTACGAAGTCAATGGTAAGCATACGATATTTAACTTTAGCCGAATAAATAAAGATATCGATCGACTCGGACCCTCGACTGACCACCGGAAGTAGAGCACTAACCCGACGATTCTTGTTACTATTGCATGCACAGTCACTCAAGAAAGAACGAATTAATAAAAACATGATGACATTTCAAGTGAACGTAGAAATATAAAATGAAGAAGAAAAAAATAGAAAATCGTTCAAATAATTATAAAGCATTTGAAACAAGAAAGAAACACTCGATTGAAACGAGAGTAAAATCAGTAAAAAATACAAGACAATTTATTTTTCCCTTCAAATTAGAGAACTATCTTTATACGAAATGCGTCGTTATATCTTTTACAACATATTTAAAACTAGATAGATTAAAACTAAGATATATGCATATTAATTCTGAAAGATAATTTATATAATTAAAAGCGATAGAAGAAAATAACAATAAATGCACTATACAAAAATTGATAAAATCTTTGATAAAGAAAGTGAAAAAAAAAAATAAAAAATGAAAAATAATTAAAAAAATATTGGAAGAATATTATACAAAGTTTCCTGATACTTGTATTTCAATCTAATAATAATAATCCAATAATTCGTGTAAGATTTAGATTGGATTAAAAATTTGTGTAATTTTTTGCTTGATTTAATAAAAATAATTATTAATAAAATATTATAAAAAATACTGAATTAACGAATATAATATAATAAAGTTATATATTTAATATATATTTCGAAAAAAAAATTTTGGAAAATCAATTATCAATTTCGCCAAATGATGAGAAAATGATTACATATTGAGATCTACTTGAAAAGAATGTAATTCTATTAAAACGTTTTTTTAATCGTTGTATAACGATATAATAAAGTTAATTAAAAATTGACACCATCTTATGAATCTATGAATATGTGAAATAAATATAGATAAGGAAAACAAATAGTGTAAGAAGGAGATAGAATAAAAAAACTGAAATCAGCGCCATCTGCAGAGTACCGCAAATAAAACGTAGAAAAAAGTGAGAAAAGGATAGAGATATGGTAAAAATAAACTATTCGCGCCATCTCTTGATTTATTTCACAATCTTGATAAAAATAGTTTGAATTTTGAAACCAAGAGATGGCGCTGATTCTCAATTCTTCGTTCTTTTTACTTATTTTTTAAATATTTTAACGATTTTCTATTTTTTTATAAGTTTATATATTCTTTTAATTTATTTATGTCTTTTTTCTTATATATTCTTATATTTTCTTTCATTTTTTTTTTTGAATCCAAAAATTGAACCAATTTCCATAATACTGAAAGAAACCACTTTATATACATAATTTTCAATACAATTTTATATACACTATTTTTAAAACGCGATTTTATTTTTCATTTTATTTTCAAAATGCAATACTAATATGAAAAATAATTGATATGATCAAGATGGAATAATATCGCTAACTCAAACTACATCGAAACCCATATTATTAAAAAATTTATTTATTACTATATTGTAAAAGAACAAATATAAAATTTAAAAATATATAAATTTAAAAAATTTATATATTAATAAAATAATTAGAAAATAAATGAATAAAGAA